AAAAAAGGATCGAGAGAACTACCACCCAATTTCAGTTCTCCCTGTACTTAGTAAAATTATTGAAAAATTATTTTGTACTAGATTAACTGCCTTCTTTGAGAAATTTAATCCATTTTATTCCCATCGGTATGGATTCCATGAGCGTTACAGTACAAAGTTATCAATGATTAATTTAGTTCACACTTTACTTTCTGACATTGATAAAGGTAATTGTTCCCTTGGAGTTTTTATAAATTTTAGTAAAGCATTCGATACCATTTGAATCATAAAATTTTAATTTCCAAACTATCCCATTATGGTGTTCGGGGAGAACCTCTCCTTTGGTTAACTGATTATTTGAGAAATAGGACCCCCAATTCCCACAATATTCTCTCTGACCCCAGAGAATTGATCCATGGTGTACCACAAGGCTCAGTCCTAGGCCCAGTTCTTTTCTTGATATACATTTACGACCTTCCAAATTCAACTGATTATTTTGATTTTCGTTTATTTGCCCATGATTCTAACTTTATTTCATTCCTTTCCGGGCAATACACCTACAATTGATTTAACTGAAGCCAATGAGCAATTAAGTAAAGTTTCTAACTGGTGTAATGCAAATAAACAATAGCAAAACGAATTATATTTTATTCCATAATAGAGGCAAGGTAATGTACAGAAATAGCAGTCTATTTACACATAGACAGCCCATTAATGAAGTTTAAGAAGTATCTTTCGTTGGTATAACTTTAGATAAACACTTATCTTGGAAGAGTCATATTCACAATTTATGTAAAAATATTCGTACGAAAATAGGTACGCCCTATTATATTTAAGCTGCGTTACTTTATTCCTCAATATATACTACTGTTAATCTATAATTCTTTTATTCTGCCGCTATTAACATATGGGATCAAGGTTTGGGGAGGTACATGCTCATCTTACTTAAATCAAATTTTACTTATTCAAAAAATGTATGTACGTTGTGTTACTTTTTCTGATTTCAAAGCACGTTCTACACCTTTGTTTCAGCAACTTAATATTTTAGATGTATTTAAGCTGTATGATTTATATGTACTGAAGTTTGTATCAGATCTTTTTTATTGTAAATTACCACATACCATTGATATGTATTTTATTTAGTAACACATTTGAATTATACAAGATTTAACAACCCGTTTAATTTAATTATCCCAAAATTCTGCACATCACTTGCACAGTCTAGTGTAATTTATAATGGTACAAGACTCTGGAACAATCTACCCGAAGATATTAAAACACTCTTGTCAAGGACTAATTTTACTTTTATCTATTAGCAATGATTAAGATATTTAAATTATTACAGTATTTTATATATAATGATTAATTATTATTACTCTGCCCTTGTTACTAATTCAGTTATAATTTCTAGGCCAAAACTTGATACGCGAAAGCTTTCTTTTTTTTGGTCTTTTTGTCTTACAATATTGTATATTGAATGTATACTTTGATTTGTGACAATAAATATGATGATGATATGTCCATACCGATGTAACTAATGACGAAATAAAATTGAAAATTAAACGATACTTACCTGGAAGTTAAAGTTTAATTAAAATTCTATGAGTTATTATTACTGTAGTTGGAGTGGAGGAGTTGTACACCCTCCCATTATCATTACCATTATCCTCTATTCCTCATTGAGCCAAATATTCTGCTCCAAAAAGGCTGGTTGACACATGTGCAGTTCTGTCTCTCCGTCTCGTTAACTCCTCCACTCCAACTCATAGAATTTTAATAACTTCAACTTCCTGGTAATGTTTTAATTTTCCATTATGTTGCCTTTTGCAAGCAAATTACAAATTTGACTAGGCCCTACTAGTCCTTCCTCTTTGTCGCCACTATTCAATCATACATCACATGATACTACTATCAAGATCAAGCCTCTCTACCTAGTTAGTAGTGTAACCTAGGCATAGCCTATAGCCCTACTTTTTTGGCCCACCACAAGCAGCACCAGCAGGGAAGCCTCCTGTCCGCGTACACTAGACCTTAACCTAGACCTTGTATGGTCTAATACTAGGCTGGCCGAGGCTAGACCTACAACAGAGCTAGGCCTAGCCTGGCCCCAGGTAGGCCCCATATAGGCTAGGCCCTAGGCCTATAGGGCCTAGGTAGGTAGGAGACTTACTTTACTTAGCCTAGCCCAGCTAGGCTGGCCTACTAGGCCTAGTTTAGGTACTATTTTATTGACATATAAACAATACATACTGTACGACTTGTGTTGAGTTGTAACGAAAATTCCACCTTTTCAGGCCATGTGACCTACGGCACATCTGTTGTTTTCTCCTTCCTAGAGCTTCTATCTAGGCCTAGGCCTAGGCCTAGGCTATATTTATATCGTCCAAATTTCCCAATTGTACTTCGAATCCAGGGTCGTATCCCAGGGGCGAGTTTTTGATACGAAAATGAAACTAGCTCTGCATGCTACTCGAGCTCCGAGTTGAGTTTTGCTTCGCACACGCCGCTGAGGGCGGCGCACAGTGGGCCAGAATCAATTCAAAGTGTGCCAAAAGTCGAAAATAGGTAATGGGACAACTTCAACTTTTAAAGGTTGTTTGAGGTCGAGAACATCCTAAATTATATTAATCCACCAATAATTTCATATTTAGTGAATTTTCATAGTGTGATATAACCATGTAAACATGAAAAAGTTGTATTTTACTCGTAAAAAGATAAAATTGACAGTTTTGAAAAACTCCCTATGACTTTACTTAGATGAAAGCAGTCAACTTGATACTTCTTGCAGTATTTACC